GCCCTCTCGCCTCCCCGCCCTCTCGCCTCCCTCCTCGGGCCGTCGGCCTCCGCTCGCCCAGCGATTTAAATCCCCTGCCCCCCGCCCGCCAAGCGCCCTGAAAACCTCCGCCTCGGTGCCTCCCGTCCTCCTTCCTGCAAACCAAACCCTCGTTTGCTTTAGAGGGGAATCGCCAATGCAGAGCCATAGTTTGAGACGGCACTTCCTGGGGCACGTGTGTCGCCATTCATTCACTCAAGTCGCATTTATTAAGCACCTGCTGAGTGCCAGGCGCCGCTTCGCACAGGGAACACCAAAACGACTGGACATTGTCCCTCCCAAGTTAGGACACGACGTAGGATGGGAGATAGATGTGTAAACAAATATTTGTATGGATGTAATTAGCGCTGCAATGGTTATATGTACCAAATGTGGGAGACTTAAAAGCGTATGTCTGGGGGAGAGTCAGGAAAGACTATAGAGAAATGTGCAAACGAGATCTGACTGATGAGTGGGAGTGTGCCTGGCAGGTGGAAAAAAGTCTAACGTTCAAGGTGGAGTATATTGCCTGTGCGTAAGTACCAACGAGCGAGGCAGCATTTAGGGCACAGGAATCTGTGGGACCCATCCGAGAGCCCTGGTAGAGTGCGAGCCGCCACAGAGACGAAAACGAAGGGCCCTGTTTACTGGTGGTAACGATCTCATGGGCTGGTGGGGAGACCAAGGCATACACAAGTAATATTAATAATTACAGAATCACCTAAGTGCGATGATAAGAGGTTCATGGGGATTTGTGAAAGCTGGGGGAGGGGAGGCGCAGAGTTCCTGAGGGCACTTTTTAAACCTCCCTGAGCCGCAATTATAATTTGGTTAAGAGTTGTAATTAGGTACCATGGTTTTACCCCCAAAAGTTGGTAAATAGGAATGGTGAGAGTAAGGGGACTTGAGCATGTTGTGTATATGGGGGGAAAGGAGCCTCTGGAGAGGCTGACGGTAAAATGAGTGGAATAAGATTGGGTGCGGTGACTCACACCTGTGATCCCAGCACTTTGGGAGGCTGTGGTGAGAGGATGGCTTGCTTCCAACATTTCGAGACCAGACTGGGCAATATAGGGAAACCTGGTCTTTACAAGAAAATTTAAAAAATTAATGGAGTCCAGTGGCGCATGCCTGTGGTCCCACGGACCCAGCTGCTCAGGAGGCTAAGGTGGGGGGATTACTTGAGTTCGGGGGGCGAAGGTTGCAGTGAGCCGTCATTGCACAGCTGCACTCTAGCCTGGGTGACAGAGCGAGACTTTGTCTCAAAAATGAGGACATGAGAAGGAATGGATTTTCAGAGCATTAATGGGATGGAGAGACTCCTAGAGGTTAGGGAAGAAGTTTTGAAAGACAGGGCAGGAGTTACAGGCATGGAAAGGAGTTTCTAGCCTGATTGTCTCCTTTCTTCTGTGAAACAGATTTATCAGGAATAAGGTAGGAAGCTTGAAAAGACAGCTTTGGGAGTGGGGCCTGTAAACATGGCTGAGCAGTGGCGCAGACCCACCTGTGTTTGGAGACTATCTCCTTTTATTGGTTCCTCTGTACAGTGTTCTGCCCAGGTGTGGAGAAGGGAAAAATTTATAATTGGATTTTATACACACGTGCATGCAGTCAGTAGCAAAAGATGACATTTTTGGAAGCCTGTTTCCAAAGAGAAGATAATTTTATGTATATGTAGATTTAGATACTCTGACTCACTAAACCTGGGATACATTCTGGATTTAAAAATTAGTGTAGGTTTATTATGTATTTGGGTTTATCAAGAGTAGCTGACTTAAATCAATTAGAGGATTGTGTGTAGATCATTACAAGTCTTTATTTCACTTAGACTGTCAGGAAAGTAGGTTATTTTAGCCTTTGCTTAAAAATATGTTGTTGCTCTTGTTAATGGTATTTAGTAGATGATATGTTGGTGGTAATTCATGTCTCTTGGGAATGCATAAGAAATCTGTTTTTTTTCAGGAGTTGGGAGCTGGTCATCACTGGCATTGTCCCTTTTATATTACAGAAACATACTCAGCATTGCTTGATAGTCTGTTCCAGCTCCTTTTCACTAGATAGAATTGATAATTGTTTTACTCAGATATTGCTGTGCTTTAGGTCAGGGGGTCCCCAAACCCTGGTCCACAGACCGGTACTGGAACTGGGCCACACAACAGTGAGTGGTTGAGTGAGTGAGCAAAGCTTCATCTGTATTTCCAGCTCCTCCCCATTGCTTGTATTACCACCTGAGCCACCTCCTGTCAGATCAGCCGCAGCATTAGGTAGGATCTAATAGGATTTAGAACTGTGCAGGTGAGGGATCTAGTTTGCAGATACCTTATGAGAATCTAATGCCTGATGATCTGTCACTGTCTCCCCTCACCCCCAGATAGGACCATCTAGTTGCAGGAAAACAAGCTCAGGGCTCCCACTGATTCTACATTATGGTGAGTTGTATAATTATTTCATTATATATGACAATATAATAATAATATAAATAAAGTGCACCATAAATGTAATGTGGTTGAATCACCCCAAAACCCTCCCTGACCCCTGGCACTT